AAAGATATTGATTGGCAAATGCGAGACCGGCCGTGATAAATCATAAGCACGTGATCCTGCCGAAATTAGTTTATGAATAAACTTCACTTAAATGCAGTATTGATGAGCATACAGTTGAAATCAGTAGCCCCCCTGAATTATTAGAACCCCTGTTTATTTTTTTCCCCAATTTCTGTTCAACAGAGAGTAGATTACTTCAACACATTTCTAAACATTATAGTTTTAATAACTCATCTCTAATAACTGATTTGTTTTATCTTTGCTATGATGACAGTAAATAATATTTTACTAGACATTTTTCAAGACACTTCTATACAGCTTAAAGTGACTTTTAAAGGCTTAACTGGTTTAATTAGGGTAACTAGGCAGGTTAGGGTAATTAGGCAAGTTATTGTATAATGATGGTTTGTTCTGTAGACTATCGAAAAAAAAGTTAGCTTAAAGGGGCTAATAATTTTTGTCCTTAAAATGGTGTTTAAAAAATTAAAAACTGCTTTTATTCTAGCCAAAATAAAACAAATAAGACTTTCTTCAGAAGAAAAAAACATTATCAGACACACTGTGAAAATTTCCTTGCTCTGTTAAATATAATATGGGAAATATAAAAAAAAAAGCAGCAAAAATTCAAAGGGGGGCTAATAATTTTGACTTCAACTGTACATAAGAAATATTTCACACATACATAAAAAGAAGAAAATACAATTTTAAGCTCCAGCTATAAAGCAAAGAAGCACGAGTGAACATTTGTGCTGCGAGCGCTGAGATAATGCAGCGAATTCCCAGTCTGGATTATGTGTAACGTGTGTGAAGTTGAAGTACAGTATCTCCTGCTGTGCCGAGCTCAAAGACTGAGTCACACGAGCTCCGCTAACCTGACTTTCACATTCAGCATAAAACATCCCCAGCCTTCAGCTCGCAAAACACAAACGCCGGAGACAGAGGGGGGAGAGAAATATTGGCCATTTGAAAGGCTTAACGGAGAGCCGCCATTAGATAAGGGACATTAACATCTTCAACAGTCTGTAGAAATAAAAGCGGGCCGTAATGCATCGCGTCAACAGTCTGACAGACACACTCTCTCACAGCTGTCAGCATGTGCCACTTCTAATCCGCCATCTCAGCTTACACACGTTATCCAGAAAAACACCAAATCCACAGCTCACACGCACACACTCTCGATGCAGATGTAATTACACTCACTGGCTTTGGTGACGTTTACACAGCAAAACTCATACGGTGGGACATTTTATTCAATGCAAATGTAACGGAGGACAGATAGTGAAGTTATAGTAAACTTTACTCCCCAATCTCAAAAAGTTGCTCTGGTGACTTACGCTAGTGGTATTTAGCTTCATCATTGGAGCATTCACCTCCCATGCAAAGAATTGCTGGATTGCTCTAAGCTGGGAGCGAGTGGGTGGTGTAGGACTAGTAGGTTACATTGGTGCCATGACCCATATGGGAGAGAGTTTTAGAGGGGGTGAGTGTAAAGGAGGCCAGCTAGCGACTTTAGCCTCCTCGATGGAGCATGTAGAGCACCCGGAGGAAACCCACGCAAACGCAGGGAGAACATGCAAACTCCACACAGACACGACAACTGACCCAGCCGAGGCTCAAACCAGCGACCTTCTTGCTGTGAGGCGACAGCACTATCTACTGCGCCACTGTCTCACCTAATATTTATATTTATTTTTATTTAATATTTATTTAATATATAATTAAATATTTATTTTAGTTATATATTAAATAATTTTAATTTATATATATATATATATATATATATATATA